CTTCATAATATCATCATACTTTTCACTGAACATCTTTACTTTGGGACTTCCAGATCTAGCCAGTTAGCAGTGGATCCCAGTTTTCAGTTCAAGGAATAAATATCATTCTATGTAAATATCGATGAATCCTTTTACGTGAACAGGAAAAGCTGTTGCTAACTGCTTCTCTAACACCAGGCCATGTTTGTACAATAGGTAGATTGTTTTCTAGCAGGAAGTAAGATTACTCACCTCTTCAAAGCTGCACTTAAATCCTGCTCCTCTTTATAGTTAAAAGCTTCGTCAAACCCAAATTTGCTCTTCAACAGATCAACCTTTCGAAATGAATAAAAAAGAGACATTAAATAACAAGAGAGTTAAACATCATGGTCTATTAAACTAAAACCTCTCTTTCCCCCCCAAAGGCATAACCCACCCAACCCCAACCTTTGGGTTTGATGGTGGACGGAGCACAATGAAGAATGAAGATAGCTTCAACACTATGAAGATCCAACGCAATGGAACTTACCTTTTCTTTGCTTCCAGCACTACCAACAACGTAGCAACCCAGCATCTTTGCAAATTGCCCAACGAGCTGACCAACTGCTCCAGATGCAGCTGAAACAAAGACAGTTTCCCCCTTCTTGGGGGAGCAAACCTCATGAAAACCAGCATAAGCTGTCATCCCAGGCATCCCTGCACACATAATTAATGAGCGCTTCTTTTATATCAACAACACATCCTGCTTCTCTCTCTGACCTACTGATAAATATATCTATTGTTTGCCACAAACTTAAACTTTATACTAGAAACAGCGAGGAAATGATCAAAATGGTCCTTAATGTATGGAGGCTGTTTTATCTTGGTCCTTACTGTATTACCCTTAACAGATATAGTCCTTAATGTATATCAAAAGATAACATATTTGATCTTTTGCCCTAAACCTAACAGATTTGTCAAAAGGGGCTGTTAAATTTAACCTAGGCACCCCATGTGCAGCTCACGTGCAATTAAAGACAAACGCTTTCCCTTTTTTCATCTTAAAACAGAGATTTGGAGAGGAACAAAGAGCTTCTGTGCACAAGAGCTCTTTGAATGAAGAGGTTGCGTCTCTTTCTTTCGTCTCTGCCATAAAAAAGTCTACGAAGAAAGCTATTTGTTGACAATATTAACAAACGAAGCAAATTGTCGGCAACAAGTAGGAGCTTCTCTCTTCTCTGTTCTTTTCTGAATTCCTAATTCTTAAAGTTGCTCTGATACGAAGGTGAAAGCGAGTCCTAATAGAAGGAATTTTTGAAGTCTTTCGATATCATTGTTGAGCAAAACTGATACGAACAGACGATACAAAAGCTCTAATCGGAGTCATATTTAATAGGGCTGACTATAAATTTTTTGTTTCATTAATCTCTTTCTTGTTTAGTCTTTTTCATTTAACTCGAAAGTCGAAACAAAAAATATGAGTATTTTATGCCAAATCAATTTCTGTTAAAAGAAAATTCTGAAGCATTGTGCAACAAGATTAGTCGAAGAAAAAAAGATATGACGCTTTAACTATCAATGTAGCGCAGCTTTACACCTCAGTCCCAAAGAAGTTGTCATCGGAATATTGCTACTTCATATGAGCGGAAAAATATTGAACATATTGCTTTTGCCTTCAACATTAGGATATGGAGAACAACTATGTATTACGAGTTTGGTTCTCTAAGGCAATTGAAAAGGTATTTATACATCTTCAACATTTTCAATAGAGTTTTAGATGCCGAGGGGTAGAAGCTTATTGTAATGCAAAATGAGTCAAGTCTTATATGCAAAGGCTTTTAGGCAAAATGACCTTTGGTTTATGTAATTGTATTGGTAGTATTTTTCTTTTTGTCAAAACTGTGAAGCTTTAACTAACAATGAAGTGTAGCTTTTTTAAGTTTAAAAATCAGGTGAATTCGTAAATGGTTTTCAGTGAAATTTTATTGTGCAATTGTTTTGGTGCTCTATCATTGAAGTGTAGCTTTTTTAAGTTTTCCCGCTTTTTTGATGATTGCACGTGAGCTGCACATGGGGCGCCTAGGTTAAATTTAACAGCCCATTTTGACAAATCTGTTAGGTTTAGGGCAAAAGACCAAATATGTTATCTTTTGATATACATTAAGGACCATAACTGTTAAGGGTAATACCTTAATACAGTAAGGACCAAGATAAAGCAGCCTCCATACATTAAGGACCATTTTGATCATTTCCTCTAGAAACAACAAAGGGTTCTGCATACTTCGTCAAGTATTTTATTTATTAACTTATTTTAATAGGGGAAGGACATACATGAAAATAGGGAGGAGAATTCAGACACAATCTTAAGTCA